ACTAACATGGGGAGCGGTGCCAAGGGCCCGGCACCACCCGCTGTGCACCGCTAACTAACACAACTCCAGACAGAGTTTGGGTCTACAGCAGCAGAAAAGGATGAGCTAATCTATTCATAGTCAGCATAAAGACTCAACTGATCTAAGTCAAATCCGTCGGATGTTCCTGTAGGTTTGGACGTGAAACAGGCCTTAAATTGTTTTCAAAGTGGTCTAACAAAGATCTGAAATTGATCTGAAGGAATTGCACTTTTCCTGTCATATAATGATCCATGGTTCCACGTGCTTCAGCCATTGGGCTCGGTGTGGTTTTTAGCCTCCTCACTTTCACTGTGACACCAGGTCTGCAGATGCCTCAGGCACCGGTCTGATTACGTCTTACTGCGAAGAACGACGACAGCAACGCTGCAGACACAACCAAAACCTGGAAACACTATGTTGATATGATAATTCCCCACAGTGACTTTGCTTACAGGCTTTCAGTCACTTTGTGATACACAGCGGCAACTACACGACCACAAAGAGACGCAGAAAGGCTCACAGAGAATTAAAGAGGAACTGGAGCTTTGTGTCACATCAGCAGTAACCAGAGCATTCTACTGGACAGACATGTTTACTGTTAGCCAGCTAATAAAGTACCTACCTAACGCTAGCTTCAGGCTGGAGGCTGCATTTTGAACAGTTTGTCCCCAACCAGGCTTCTGTAGTTCACATCGTAGCTTCAGGAAACAGGATGTGATGAGAGGGACAGAGAGCGGGAGGGAGCGGTTTATGGTGTCAGTTTGTTTGGAGTCTCATCGGACCTTCGAGGCTGAAGAGACATTTCAGTAATCAATAATCCATCTATCTGTTTGTGTGCAGGGTCAGCGCTGCCTTCGGGGACAGTGACACGCTGCCTGTCAGTAACACCCAAATTTAGCAAATTGCAGCAGAAAGAGAAAAACAATCACGATTGGAGGGCTCAGATCAGACAGGCCTTTCCTTCATCTCTTCATATTCACTGCTGATCTCATTGTAGCCTCCAATCCAAGTTAGCAGGGATTATCTCCCTTGGAAAGGGCATTAAGAGGCGGATAACCTCAGCTTGGAAGCACTTAATCTGGCAGCATGTTAATGAGTCTTGTTGTAGATCGCTTAAATTAAAAGCAAATATCAGCAGTCATTTGGCTAAAGGAGGCCCAGCCAGAGCCTGGCCTCAATAATAATACATTAAGTGATTTGAGTCGCTGGGTCATTGCAGTAATCATGTAATGTGAGTGAAAAAACAATAAAATTAACAGGTTATCAGGAAATTAAGAAGAGGGGGAGACGGACTGGGTTTCTGTGTTTCAAAGTAAAAAGCTTTTCATCCTGAAAAGATACAAGCAACAAGCAAATGAGTGAAAAAACTGAAGACACAAAGTTTTCCATGATGAAAAGGAATATCTATGCTTTCAACTTCAGTAAATAAATAGTTCACTTTACTATTCCTAGATGGGAAATCAGTTGTTATATTAGTTATAGCATATAGTTATAGTACACCACTTTACATCATTACATATAGCATTACCGTACATCTACATGGAAAGAAAGAAATAATAGCAGTCTCCTCAGTCCCAGAGCTCTTCATGAAGTTATGAGATGAGAAGTCAAACATTTGTCTTAAGTGAAAATTCTGAGACAAAATGTCAGAATGCTGAGGTGAAAAGACTGAATCAGCATCACAGTGAGTACAAGGATCAGATCAGAGCCAACAAACATCTTTACTGCCTAACAAAATGAGATGATGAAGACAATTCCTTTTGCTTTTCTTTACGCTGTGGTCATAATGGTCCCGTGCAGCCTGCACGGTGCTACATGCTAACAGCTAGTTCTGGATGAAACCATCGTTAAGACACAGGAGCTCTGAATGGAGTGGACTCACTTCTTGTTACTGAAGCTAGCAAGGGTCTCCCTCCTGCTTTTTCACAGAATTGTTTGTCTCCTGACCTTTGACCCTTGGATGACATGAAAGTTCAGCTGTGATTTGATTATGTTTGTGTGAAATCAGCTTTGCAGCCACTCCAATTGTCGTGTAGCAGATTGACTGCAGGCTTTAACATATTAAAGTTCAGGAGGCTGCCAGACAGTATGTGATCTAACAACGTAATCACAATGTGTAATCTAACAATGTAATCCAACTTCACAGTTGTCTGTGAGATGTATTTCCTGCCCGTCTGCAGCCACAGCAGCAGAATGATTAAAGCCTGAGGATTTCCATCTTCATGTCATCATTCTCACTGAGCTCAACGTGAAAAACGTATTTTAATACACAGTGTTGGTCAGGCTCTTCACACACAGTGATGACCCATGAATCAACTCCTTAGCTAGTTTACCTCATTCTCTCCCAGGTCAGTGATCAATTATAAATCCGTGTCTGCAGAACATGCTCAGACCGCTGCACCTTACTGTGTTGTAGAGTTAATCTAAAATTTGACAGCAATGGAAGAAGTCCTCAGATCCTTTACTTCAGTAGCAGTAATAATGCTACAGTGTAAAAGTACTCTGTTACAAGCCAAAGTCCTACATCCAAATAAGTAAAAGTGCAAAATTATCAGCATCCAAATACCCTGAAGTACCATCAGTACCAGTACTCGTCCTGCAGAACGGCCCGTGTCCCAGTAACGTCTCTGATACTGGATCATAGTGACTAATTACTGTGTCCATCACTTTAATGCTGCAGCTGGTAAAGGTGGAGCTGATGGTAACTACCTTATATACTTATACTGGGAAGTACTTTCCATCCTGCTGGGTAGCTGGTGGATTTCCCAGACACCTTGTTGTTGAACAAAGGTTCAATAGTGTAGTGAAGTAAGTACATTAACTGCTATATTCAGGTCTTTGTACACAGGCTGAGTAGATGAGTACATGTTCTGACCTGGGGGGGGGATTAGCTGTCTTTCATGTTCCAGTCTATTTTAAACAGTGCCTTCACATTAGCTGTCAGCGTTAGAGTGCATCAAATAAAGAAAACTGCATCAAATTATCCCATTAATTTTATTATGTTTGCTTCACTCTGCCATTATATAATGAAACTAAGTGGTTTTACTGACTTATCCCTGCACACGTCACCTACAGAGGAGCCATGTTGGTAAATCAAAATTGGATTGTTATAATCAAAAACTGCAGAAGATGAGGACACGGAGTTTTTATCCTGGACTATCCTGTGGTTCACTCACTGTAAACAAGAGAGTTATCCTCAGAACAAACCTGATGAATCCATGTTGCTACACCGTCTGCTCCCTTCCTGCTGGACTCCACTACCTGCAGGTGACCAGTCACAACCCTGTGTTCACCAGTAGAAGCTAACCCACTCTTGTCTTAAGTCAACAAAATGATGATTAATGTTATTGGATTATTCACATTGCCCGCAACATGACTGAGCCACAGAAATGAAATGAAAATGTGTATTGAATGGGATTTTCCAGGAAAGTCACCATGGCGGTAATAAGGAATGACCAATTCTCCCAAAGTCGATTAAACAGCATCTCATCGTGCAGGAAAATACATTGCAGGCTGCAGAACAAACAAGATCTGGCTTAGACAATGCGGCTGCATCAAGAGGCAGATTAAAGTCTTTTTATCTATTATTGAGATTATTATTCAGCATGCTCGTGTTGTGGAGGATTAACTCTGCTGGTTAGTCCAGAAAACAAGCTATTAGACAGAGAAATGATCAGACCTGAGCTCAGGACTGGACAAGGATTGTTGTCTAAAAGGCTTTAACAAATTGTCCATGGTTCCACGTGCTTCAGCCATTGGGCTCGGTGTGGTTTTCAGCCTCCTCACCATGTCTGCAGATGCCTCAGGCACCGGTCTGATTACGTCTTACTGCGAAGAACGACGACAATTTGCAGCCGCAGGTTGTCTTTGCACCGATAGATGCACTGGTGTAGGAAAACGCCTCCGCTACCGTTATACAGCGCTGTATTCAGATGGTGATTGCCTCATGTACAATGTGATGTGCAGGCTGTACTGACGTGATATATTGGCTCAAACTGGGTAAAATCCACATGTGGACAGTGTAAAAGTAATGCATTACATACAGTATTACTGCTCATTAACAGTAATAAGATACAATCTAATTCTTCAGCTGAACAACACGTCATAGTTCAGTTTCCGTCATGATGAAGTAGTTTGTGGTGTGTTTATGTAACCATATAATGTGTAGTGACAATATTACTTATGAGGGCAGTAACTTGTTACTTGTAAGTTACTTTTGCATTACTCTCTCAAAGGATTTCCATAATTAAAACTTCAGTAAAATTATTAAGCATTATTAGGTTCCATTTACCAGAATACTACAAATATCACACACACCTCTGAGACATTTGTCATGCTTTTTGAAAAACGAGTTCACTCCAACGCCTAAGTGGCCCAAAAACCTGAGTGTCCTAGTCACAGTCTTCACTTAGAAACGCAGACATTAAGTGGCCCAAAAACCTGAGTGTCCTAATCACAGTCTTCACTTAGAAACGTGCTCCGTCTGTAGCCTGATGTGGTATCTATCGTAGCTTAGGCCAACTAGCCAACTAGCTAACTAGCTAACAACTCATCTGAATGTGGCCGCTGAGCTTCCTGAAAGCCCAGGACCAGCATCTGTCATGGACTCGGTGTTTTGACAGTGTTATTAAGAAAACAGGAAAAGCCCAAGAAAACCAGTATATGTACTCAGGTGTTGTATTTTAGTTTAATTTCTTCATGTTCTGCTACTTCAGAAACTACCCAGCAAAGTACTTCACAGTATTACGTAAACATCAGCTCCACCTTTACCAGCTGGACACAGTAATTAGTCACTATGATCCAGTATCAGAGACGTTACTGGGACACGGGCCGTTCTGCATAATGACTATTTTACTTTTGATACTTCAATTATATTGTAATGACCCCCGGCGTGGAGGAGAGAGACCAGACCCCCCCCCAATGGCTGACGTGGATCGTCACAATATTTTATTGCTAATACTTTTGTACTTTTACTTCAGTAACACTTTGAATACAAGGTTTTTACTGAAACATTTTGTCCAACTGTTATTTGGTTATAAGTTATATAGAATTGTTAAAGATCAAGGTCTACATCAAATTTAATTTATAAAGGCGTTTTTAATTTGTTGTAAATCGTAGTTGGGATGTGCGTCTCTGTCGTCATCAAGCGGCGCCATGTTAGAAGTTATCATCTTGGAGCAGAATGAGGAGAAAAGTGAATAAAGTGTTGAAATAGCGAGTATATTGAGGCAGCTGATGACGGTTTCTGCTCGGTACGTAAACACACGCCACTGTTTGTTCTTCAACACAAACTGCTGTTTCATCGGGGGCCGCCGTTAGTCTTCTGCTAGTGTAGCTTCATGCTAACCGGATCACTTCTAACATCGGTAAAGATACCAGAGTGTTTTTCAGTAAACAGCCAGTGTAATGTTTTTCCTGTTTCGTGTTATCTAGTGGATGGTTGACATGATTTATTTCAGTATTTCAGGGTATAGCTAGCTAGCTGTGGCTAGTCTCTGGAGTTATGTTTCCTTACCAAAGTCCTATATAAATATGTGTCAATTTAATGTCGGTTTGTTTATACGTGAAAAACCTGTCACGAATCAGGACGTGCCTGCGGTAAATATACAGTTTGATCAGAAACACACCAGGCAGGTCTTATATGAAACCACTTTAATAATTTAAAGTAATTTTCAGCTAGAGTGAGATTTTTAATTTCGTCGCCTGAACAGCTTCTGTCCACTTTGCTGAATGATACCAGCTGTAAGTAGGTTAACCTTATTGTTTTAGCTCTTCCGTACAGAAACAGCCAACATGCAAAGTTAGTTCTTTCACAATATCTGAGTCATATTTGATATAAACTGTGTGAAACCCTTTGCAGCAACAGCAGCTCCTTGTTAATTAGAGCAGCTAATCCTTCCGGATATGTGGCAGTTTACTTTCAGATTGCACAGGTTTAAATATGTTTTATGAAACACCTGAAACATAACCTATTGCGTGCTGGAAATATCAATTAGTTAGTTGTTAATAATATTGTCTTTAAAAGTCACAAAGCAGTGCCAATTTTTGTTATAGTTTACTTTTCAGATGCTTTTGGTCCAGTCACAGTCCAAAGCTCAGATCTGCTTAATGTATTGTCACATGTCACAGAAAAGCATTTAATTCACACATTTGAGAAGCAAGAATCAGCAACTATTTGGCATTTTTACTTGGCTAAAGTCATTTTCTATTTATAAAATAAATTAACTTTGTTGATGGATTAATTGTTGCAGCTGTTCACTTAGTTATTTTCTTACTTAGAATACATTATCAGAATGAACAAGCTGTAGTATTGCTAAGATAATATATATTTCATATATTTTGACAGATTATCACTAGTTATAAAAACCCTTATTTTTCACACTGAATCACTGTAAAATGCAACACAGTTTACACCTTTTGATTGATTTTATTTGCTGAGAACAGCGGATCGCTGAGCAGACTGTCAGGCTGCAGCATGCTGAGAAATGCCTCCAGTTTGATGTGAACATCAGAGTATTTTCTCTGGTCCCTCAGGCTGCAGCTCTCCACACAGAATGAGTCGTGATGAGGAGACCAAAGCTAGTTGGAGTTTTGCTCTTCGTGGGCTGCCTGCTCGCCTACCTGCTGGTGGTGAGGCGCCACTGCTTCGCTCCAGAGCCTTACGTCTACCAACTGCCTCCTCACCGCCAACCCGGCTCAGACCAGAGCGCAGATGGTGACAGGCTGGTAGATGCCTCTGCTGCTGGACCGAGCTTCCAGTATGGCATCATGTTCGATGCTGGGAGCACTGGGACCAGAATCCACATCTTCAAGTTCCAATTAGAGAACAAAGGTGCAGCAGAGGACACAGTAGAATATGAGCCGACACCTCTTTAGATCATCACTGTTTTTATTACCACCGGGACTGTAGCTCCCTCATTATACCTTGAGACTGGTAGTTGTAATGGAGTATTCTGACTGTTTGGTGTTGGTACTTCTACTGCAGAAATGGCTCCCAGTACTTCCTCCACCACTGACTGATGATGAAAATAACCCTAATTTATACCAGCTGAGCTAAGACCAGAATTTGACTTTGTGCCTTTGTAGAGCAGCTCAGTAGAAAACAGGACCTTTAAATACTAAGCTGGATCATAAACTAATATTTGGAGCAGATACTGATAGATGTATTCCAGGATGTGTGGATGTTAAACCTATGGATCCATTCAGATTAAACTGTTAAGGTTTATGAAGCAGCCCTCTCTGAGTTGCTTTTAGTGTATTTAAACCCACAGATGTTGTCCAGAACTGTAATTACCAGCTCTGAGTCCAGCAGACAAGAGGAGCTTTCAGCCTCTCAGTTGAGTTAAAGTGGACACAGACTCATTAGAGTGTTTCAAAGGTTTTTGTTGATTAGGCTTAGAGAAAGTTTCCTGCAGAGCTCGGCCAAATGCCTTCATTATCGCATTACACTATTAAGCTAAGTCACACAGCTGAGTGCTGTTTTGGCTCCTTTGTTAGCATCAGAGCTAACTGGACTAATGGCTGTACCTGTTAGTTATACAGATGGGGATCGTCATTAAGAGCTTAATGACAGCTCAGATGATCCAGGGTCAGTCAGAAATGAAATAAAATTCAGTTGGCTTCAGGGCTTGTTGCCTTTTTCTAATCATTTTCAACCAAACTGGACTCTGTTTACCCACTGCTGATGCTAAACCTGTAGCTTTGTTTCAGCCCTCAGTGTTTTATAGACATCTGTGACTTTTGTCCTGCAGGAGCTCCCAGACTGGTCCACGAGACCTTCAGGGCCATCAAACCTGGACTGTCTGCTTACGCCGATGATCCAGAGAAGGTACAGCAGCTTTAGCATCACTGCTTGTTGTGCTGCACTTTATGTCTCTACTAAAGAAGATCATATGTTATTTATTGCTGCAGCAGCAGCCCATGGAGGCCACTAAGTCAATCTCTGATCCCAACTGGGTGTGAACGTTTTAAATGTTAAGTAGCTGCAAGAAAACATTACACTAGCATTTCCCATTGAAAGCAAATTCCTCATACAGCTCAGGGCATCTTAACTGTACCCTGGTGTCATCTCGACACTTTCATTTCAGTCTTTACTTTCCTGTAAATGTAGTAGCAAGAAAAAGTCTGAACCCTCTGGAAACAGCTGTTTTTCTCTGCATGAACTATTAACCGACAAGCACAGACAGTCCCAGCGATAGCACACATACGGTGATAATCATTGTGTCTTTATTGAACATGGCCATTCAACACTGACAAATTAGGTGAACCTTGCAATTAAAAACCTGGTGGAACCTCAGGCCGGGTCTCTGTGGGCCTGGTTATCAGACTTGCACAGGTTTCAGTTTGGACTGTTGTTCCTCACGGAGCTGCTTCGGCTCAGACACACTCTGAGGACGTGAACGCTCTCGGAGCTCAGTCCACAGCTTCTCTGCTGGGCTCATGGTCTGTATTCGCACTCATCACAGTGAGTACAGTCATTGGTTCTGTTGGTCTCTGGAGGGGTCTATGCAGCGTAACGAAACAGAAACACCAGCTGCATCCTCTCAGACACATTTATACATAAATGGAGGTAATTCCACAGGGTTCACTTATTTTGTCTTGTTTTCACTGGTTGATTAATTAAAGCTGATTAATATCCAGACTCATTGTCCCCCCACCCCACCCCACGTGTTTCCAGTGTATATCAGGGGTCATGGAGCTGTTGGAGGTGGCAAAGTCCAGCATCCCTCCCTCCATGTGGAGCATGACCCCTGTGGTCCTGAAGGCCACAGCCGGCCTCCGACTACTGCCTGGAGAGAAGGCCAACCACCTGCTGGACAGGGTGAGACGCACACTTTGTAACACAACACAAACTGTTTCTGACCACAAACCTCAGCTTACCCTACCTTCTGACTGAGCAAACACTAACGATGGTCCATAACACCTGGAACGTCTGGCAGTAGACAAGCCTGTAAATCCCGCAAGATCACACGAACGCTCACGACATCTTGTAGCTTGTTCAGTGCACGTCACATTGTCCTTCTGTCAGCCAACACATCATTTAATCAGCTGCTTGTTTCCACTGTGGCTATTTTTATTCCAAGTTTGTAGTTTAATTGTAAGCACATCTGTTCCTTATCTTGGAAAACTCTATTATATAATCATGTTTTAATGTTTTGAACAAGTGACAGCCCCCCCCCAAAGTAATCAGCTCTGTGTTTGGCTGAACCAGGAGCAGCAAAGCCTTAGATTAAATCACATTTTGGCCACTGCTCTAGTCCTGTTATTGCTGATTACTTAAAAGCTTTAATGGACTTTTTCTTTTTTGGCCCTGGCATCCTGATGATGATGATGATGATGAGGAGGAGGAGCTGTGTGGGATGAAGAAGCATTAGCTTCTTGTGAGGATATTAGCTAAAGTAAATCCCATAATGCAGAGCAGCTGAACTGACCAGTTGATTGTGAGTTTATCTGATCAGTTTAGGAGACGCTGATTTTGTCTGCAAAATTATAAATAAAGCGAATAGTTGATGAATCAATTGTCATTTGATGTCGATTGTCAGTAAACAAATTTCACTAATCAGTCACTTCATTCAGTTTTAATCAGAAACACCGGTCAATCGTTGTTTCAGCCTTGTACTACTCGAAACCCAGTATCTTTGGGTTTTTGCTGTTGTTCATATTTTTCATTTCACAGCTTGGACAGTTGATCCAGAAAATAACCTGATTAGAATAATTGATAATAAAAGCATAACGATTAGTTGCAGTCCTGACTGGTTTCAGGTAGTTCCAGTCTCCATCCTTTTCAGAGCAGATGCTTAGTTGAATTACCAAACTGTTGTTAATTGTGTTAATTGTGTCCAGGTGAGGGCAGTGTTTCTGGGGTCTCCCTTTCTGTCCCAAAACGACAGCGTGTCCATCATGGACGGCACTGATGAAGGTAACATGAAGACAGAAGCAATGTGTTGTCACATAATCTAGTTGTTGTTTATGAAAATAAAAACGTTGGTATTCAGAAGATGTAGGCTGCACCCACATCCCAGGTCTGAGGTTTCCCAGGATTTGGTGTGTCCACAGCAGTGTGAACAGACCAGACCAGGTGTCCTCAGACCAGATGTGGGCTACCTGCCTATGTGCTCCTAGACCCGATTCCTCTCTGACCTCTGACTGTGCGAGCACCGTCAGAGGTCAGAGAGGAATCCATGTGGTCGTTCTAACGTCTCCTCCTCTGTACATACTGCCTGTCGTCATCATTCGGCGTCGGTCCTTCACAGACCGGTAACAATAAACATGGAGGAGAGCGACGACAGCGACGGGGTCAGTGGAGAGACCAGGATGTTTATGGAGAAGCTTCTGATCAGGACAAACTGGGAGGAACATGTCGTAACCCAGCAGTCTGGGAGGAAACTGGGCCATTTGACTGTCGCACACATGACCTGGTTGTAATTATTGTGCACACGTGGCTCACGTTTCAGTTACATCTGTGCATTTTAGGAGCTCAGCTGTGTTCACACCGGGGCCAGGTAGATGGCCCTGACACACACGGATGGGAAGCAGTGACACAACAAGGTCAGATGTGTCTGAGACATCAGGACTGAGTGTGAAGGCCTCGGACGTGCACGCAGCCTAATATGATGTGAATGGTTTTTTAACAGTTTTCTGTGCAAAGCAGTGAGTTCTTGGAGGGCTGGTGACCTGCAACCAAGTCTCGTACTGAACACAATCCTCAATCGTCATCAGTTTATGACTTTATTAGATTGCAGATTTGTGTCTCTAGTTGTCCCGCTCTGATTTCCCCAACGAAAACTGCCAGTATGGAGGATTAAATAAAATGGAGGTTTAAAAACCACAGCAAGCAGGAGACAAACATCCACATGTGGCTCAACAGGCAAATTGATGATTTCACTGTAGAAAGAAAATGGAGCAGGGTTTGAACCTTAACCAGCATCGCACTACTGTGTATCATTGTTTACCACCAATAGTACTTTGTCTCAGTGTAATACTTGGACTACGCCAGGTGAGTGTAAAGGTACGGCGGGGTAATTTCAGTCCCTCTGCTTTTCTGTTTTCTCCACCCATTAAGGCAGCTCAACTCTTCTGGCAGGTTTTTAAGATTAAACTCTTCCAGCCTTCTTGTTAGTGGAATGAAAGTGGAAAACTGGGATTGATAGGTGGATGAAACAGGTAAGTTAGGTGACCTAGTGACCTTTTTAAAACTAAAACCAAAGGATACTTGCTAAATCCCCTCACTTAAGGCTCCTCGAAGGCATCCTAGTTCTTCGGTTTTTCCACCAGAGCTCAGGAAGCCTGAGATCCCTTGTCCCTCCAGATTCAGATGTCTGCTGCGCTAAACCCACTGTTATTATCGGTATGTATAAGAATCCCATGTAGGTTTTGTGCTTTAAACACTCGCTCTGTTTGGACATGAAGCTTGTCCGCAATCCTTTTAAAGTGGTTCATACAAGCAATTATGGCCATGTGGGATAATGTCCCATTTAATCTTGAAGGGGGGAGGCCGATTATCTCCCCCACACTGTTTTTTTTTTTTTTTTTTTTTTTTCCTGAGCTTGAAATGTTTTCTCCTCCCATCTGAGTGAGATCTGCTCGTCCCTCTGCTCTACCAGAAATGTCTTTTAATGATTCCTGAGTTAGCTTCTCATCCCGGTCCACTTGTCCGCCACTAATGGACAGATTCCTCCCCGTCACTCCTGGATGAACGGTGAACTGTCTGGATCCCATCAGCCTTATTATCACTCTGATATTTTGCCGTTCTTGGTCTGGACGCTTATCCCTCTCTGAGATTACCCCTGACTGTCCTGAGTGGAAGCGATTTATTGTTAATGCAGATTTCTGAGTGGGCGCTGGGGTGCAGCGGGACACTAAGTGCCGGTGTTTAACTCCCTGACCTAAAGCTGAGTCTTTCTCGGCACTTGTTTGTTTTGTTTGGAAATTGCTTCTTAGCATGTCTGCCGGACAGTTTTATTATACAGTTTCTATCAGGCCCTTTAATCGTCTACTTCTACATGGCGACAAGGTCAGAGGTCGCTGGTGAAAGGCACTAATGCACGCCGCTGAGTGCAGATATTCTGCCACAGACACTAATGTCGTCTTTGAGTTGACCTGAATAAGCAGACCCTCGGCCGGCTTGGAGCATATCTGTCTCCAGAGCTTTGGTTTGGATAGGTGACATTTAAATGAAACTATTGGTCCACTTTTTGCTGTTTTACCCAACTTTGCCTCTGCACATCAGGAACTGGCTGTCCTATCAGTTTATGGAAACATTAACTGATTAGTCAATGAGTCACTTGACAGGAAGTTCATCACACAGAATGTTGGGTGCTGCCTGTGAGCTCCTAGAGATTCCCCTAGTGGTTTCCTGAAAATAACCAGGTAATTAGGTTCTAATGAAAACCAGTTTTTAACAGTTTGTTCTTGAAGTTTAGGTCCAAATTGACATTGAGAAACACTTCGCCACGAGGTCTGTCTGTTGCTGTTCTGGGGCAAACAATTATTACTTTGCTTCATCAAAGTTTTCTTTGTTTTGCTTTTTAAAATAGTATATAAAAATGTGCAAGAATATGAAGGTGGTGATTACAGAATGTGAGTAGTTGTCATTTTATGTTATATCATTTTGCAATAAAGCATGAAACCTGTTTTTTTCCATTAAGGTATATCTGGTTGGATCACTGTCAACTTCCTCACTGGTGAGACACACACTAGGACAAACACCTGCACTGACTGCATCACATATTTATATAAGACACGAGCCACTAACAGGGTGCATGCCTGGCTGGGTTGTGCAAAACCAGATTAATGTGGACAAGCAGTGATGATGACCTGTTATTGGATTATGCTGCAGCTCTCGCTCTCTCTCTTCAGGTGGGCTTCACAGTGCTGGCTCACCCACGGTGGGGATGCTGGATTTGGGTGGAGGGTCGACTCAGATCACGTTCAGTCCTCAGGATGAGGTGAGGGTAAATGACATAGGCAACACTAACAGAGAGAAAGAGAGGAGGGAGGTGAGGCAAGGATTGGTCAAGCGAGGTAGACTCAGATAGGAAGACGTCACTCTCCAGTCAAAGTACCAGTGTGTCTCCATCTAAGAGGGTTTAATCTGGAAATGCCATGCTAATCCCACATAAACTCCCTCACATCAGGAGGGGGGAGGAAGAGGCTGCAGAAAGGGAGATTGGGGGTCTGGTTTCTTATCTGGGTCAGGCTTTGTATACCATGTCGCCTCGAAGAGCCTCATCTTCTACTGCTGATGTGGATCCTCTGTAGTGTGTAATCTTGAGTCGATGGGAGGATGGGGTTAAATGGCGGTGGGAGGTGGCGATGGAACCCAGGAATCGATTACAAAGGCTGACAAGGCAGTTTCAGCTCAAACTAGAGGTCCTAGAAACCGGTCTGTGAAAAAGCTGCCTGAACCTGATGTGCAAGACGAGAAAGACCTGATTCGACTCGACCTGAGGATAATTAGACCTGATCCAAAATGAGAGGGAGCAGAGACGGCAGCAGCAGCAGCGCAATGCTTCATCAATTAATCTGATTAATTAACAAGCAGCACAGTGGAAAAGAGCAGCAATATAATGCTGGTAATGTCCTCAAAAAGAATGTACAGTGGAGGAAACTAAAACAGTGAGTCTCCAGGGTTCAAAGACTAATCTAATAATGAACCTATGCCCTGGTTGCACCTCCTGCAGCAACAGTAAAATGTCCTGCAGCTGACCAGGCCTCAGATAAAGGACAGGGTTTGACCCTGTTTAAAATCTGTGGATCACATCTCTGATCTAACAGCAGGCTTTGTATTATTCTGTGCAGAAAACCATCCAGACCTCACCCATTGACTACATCCGCTCCTTCCAGATGTTCAACCGCACACACACTGTCTACACTCACAGGTAAACACACACACACTGTATATCCTGCATTTAAATTTAAACATGCACAGTAGCTTTTTGCAAGGGTTTATAACTTCAGCCTCTGGCTACAGTGAACGAACTGTTTCTTTTTGTTTTAAATGTGTAAAAAAATAAATGAACAAAAAAGATGGACTGCAGTGTTGGATCACTTCACACCCACTCACAGTGGGCTGCAAGTATCAGTTAACAATATGCTGAATGTTTTCAAATGCCTTGTTTTGCTTGAACAACAGTTCAGGTATTTGATATACAGTGACAAAACAAGCTAAAGCGAGCGCTGAGATGTGGCCTTTTATCTTGGCTCCTTTACAGGTTGCAATAAGATATTAGGTTTTACATTTCTTGACTTGGTGTTTTTTCAGTGTGACACACAGTTTGTTCTCAGTAGCAGCACCACATCATCAGCATACAGAAAAACCCTCATAATCACATACCTCACATAGTAAGTTAGAAAGATCAGTGTCCCCAGGATCAATCCTTGTGGGACCCCACATGTATTAAAATATTAATAATCATTGAAGGTTTCATCTATAAAATGTCAGAAAAATGTACATATCTTTCCAAAGCTTAATATGATTTCAAATGCATCACTTTATCTACTAAAAACAAAAAAGCAGAGAGGGCAGGATCAGCAGATGTTGGGTCATTGTTTATAGAAGCAAACTTTACATGATTAATCAGTTAAAACAGCTGCAGCTCAATTTTCCTCATCAGCGGGCGGATTAATAAATGAATTTGCAAACAGAGTAGCTGTAAACCAGCAAGCCTGTCCTCTCTCTGCAGTTATCTGGGTCTGGGTCTGATGTCAGCTCGACTCGCCGTCTTAGGAGGCGTCGACGCTTCGCCCTGTACGTACTTAACCCTCATTTTATTCTCATTTTTTCCTGTTTTTTAATTTGTTTCTTCTCTGCCTTTCGTAGCCCCCCGCAAGATAAATTAACCATTGTCTAATCTTTTAATAACCCACAGAAAGATTAATTCCTTGTCTGCCAGCTGTTGTTGCAGTTTAGCTGCTGTAAGAAGCTGCAGCACAGGTTGACTCTGCTGAGCGGACAAAATAATAGAAACACCACACCGTTCAGGCCATCAGTCAGTCCCAGCTGAGCAAAGCTCTGAGCTTTAATACTTAACGTGATTTCCTCTGTGTGTGTGTGTGTGTGTGTGTGTGTGTGTGTGAGCAGTAGGGGGCAGCACTGAGCTGGTCAGTCCCTGCCTCACTCCACAGTACTCAGGCAGGTGGGAGTATGCTGACACCGTGTACACCGTGAAGGGACAGAAGGCAGGTAAAGTCCATGCAGTGATTTGAGTGGTTGGTTGGTTACCCATCATGCAGCTGGAGTGTGCAGAAGCCTGGTAGCTGTGTGTGTTTTCAGGGGAGCCAGTTTACGAGGCCTGCCTGACCAAGGTGGAGAAGGTTCTATACAGGAAGGTGACAAAGGCGTCCGAGGCAGCGGACATGGACTTCTATGCCTTCTCCTACTACTATGACCGAGCCGTCGACCTCGGAGTCATAGGTAGGAAGCTCATGCTAATGCTAACCCCAGATCTGCTGCTGTTCTCTTCGCCTGCAGGCAGAGACATGGCCACACCGTCAGAGGGTTTTAGGTCCACCTAATAATACAGTAACAAAGGACAAAATCCTCATTCATTTCGAGGATCGCGCTGATTGTCCTTTGTTGGTTGTTGTCTGTGGTTGTATTTGTACAAGAACAGTGGTTAATCTAGTAGCAACCAATAACCTAACTGGTCAGTTTGGCTCCTGTTTGCATCCTAAGTCCATGTAGTGGCTGTTTTACCGTGACACCAGTTCTTAGGCCCCCTATTCTGCAAACTGTGTCTTCCCTCACAAACGAGCCGAGCGCAGCTGTTCTGCTGAAGACTGAAGTAACCAGGGGACCACTGTGGTGGGGTGGGCATCTAGAAAGTCACCTGGACTTTTCTAGATTTGATATATCTGCATGAATTTGATTTGTCACAAAAATAATGATTCCCACAGTGAAACTACATGCACACGGACCAGCTGTAATGCCTTGGCCGACCATCAGCAGACCATGGACCACTGGTTGAAAACCCATGCCCTGTTTGAGTTGTGCTTTTATAAAGTTTGTGGGTGTGTCTCTGTGCAGGTGAATTTACTGCAGGTGTGGTCACATCTGAGCATCTGGGGGGAGTTTCACTGAGTATGTCCTCTCTCTTGCAGAGGAGAAAAGCGGAGGAACCATCAAAGTGGCTGATTACATCGACGCAGCAAAAAGAGGTGAGGCAGCGTCATCTGGTGGCGTGGACTGAAAACTCACTGCAGAGTTCAAAGGATAAATATTACTTAAAAGCAACAAGTATATGAAAGTACCAGTAGCAAAGCTTAAAGGTGAGGTCCACATTTATTGCAGGGTTCACAATCTGTTGTCAAAATTCAGATTTAGTTATGCAGCCCAATATTACAACTGTTTGCAGTTATTGTCCTTAATTGTACTTTAATTGGACTTGCCTACACTTATACATGCATGTTTGCCTGCCGTGGCTGATCATGTGACCTGAGCGTGTTGGCGTTCTGCTCTAATCTGATGGGTTTTCCTGCTCTGTGTTGTGCTGCTGCAGTTTGCAGTGACCTGTCCGTCAGTCCTCTGCAGAATCCGTTCCTCTGTCTGGACCTAGTCTACATCTCCGTCCTGCTGCAGGAGCTCGGCTTCCCCCCCCACAAACAGTTCAAGGTGAGGAACCCTGGAATCTGGACCAGAATCATTTGGTCTGGTATGGACTCCACAACAGATACTGACCCGTGTCTGTGTGTGTTGCAGCTGACGAGGACGATCAACCAGGTGGAAACCAGTTGGGCTCTGGGAGCAACTTTCCATTACATTGAGTCCTTGAAGAGACACTGAAGCCAGACCTGCTGCAGTTTTTATTCTGGAAAGGTCATGAATGTTCTGCAATTCGAAGGGACTCATGGGCCGTCCGTCGTCTTCACCTGGCACCGCCGCCCAATAGCAGGTGGGCTCAGCGGCGCCTATCAGGCGTCACCCTGACCTGATCTGAACCCAGATACGTTGGTTCATACTGAAGCTTCAAAGGACAAGTTGAGGTTTGTCTTGTTTTTCTGAACAAAGCAAGCTGGTGCAGACACTCCACACACAAACACTCGCAGGAACCAGAACCGACAGCTGAACCTTCAGGAGCCCTAATCTCCTGGAATATTTAAACACTAGCATCACTATTTAACCTTGTTTTATATATTTTCAGTGTTGGGATTAAATCGGTGTTTTATGTGAATTTTATGAAGGTTGGTTATAGAAAGCTTTGGCTTTGGGTTGGATTCTGTTAACTATTTAAATTGTTTTTCTTCAGATGTTGCTCTGAAACATCCAGAGAGACAGGCTTTCTAACTTTTTTTTTTTTTTTACAGTTTATTTATCCAGCTGTTTAATAAGTTTTAATTTTCCCTGAGACAGTCACATTTGAAAGATATCAGTCTATAAAATATTGTCATCAGCCTAAAAAGAAACGTGGCCTGGTCTGCACCCAGCTGTCACGTCGACATCAGTGGTATAAACATGTCACTATACCTGAGATCTGGTGCATGATAACAGCCTACTGAGCCAACTAGGAGGTGGAGGAGGCAGTGGTGGAACTAACTTGACTTAGCTAAAAGTATTATCAAGATCTCAAAGTATCAGAAGGAAAGTGCCAATATGAAGTCCTGCAAACAAACTACAGATGTAAATGTACTTAAGAGTACTGATAAGTGATCGATGTATTTCATGATTGTTGATGTGAAGCAGCATTTAAATGTTGGAGCTGGTGGAGGTTTCAGTACTTGACTACAGGTAAATGTGAGGGCTGAGATAGTTGATGGGACACAAAAGAGTTTTTATTTTTGTACTTCTCTGTTTTCTCAAACTTTTGCTTAGATCTTGTTTTCTGTGTTAGATTTCATATGAACCAGGTTTCCAGTGAAACCAGTACACCCCGACACTGGGTTCATGTCTCTGACCTCATGCAAGTCTGATCATTTGTACTGTGAAGGAGCTCCTGTTGTGCCAGTTGTGGGGCAGCTCTCTGTATGTGCACGGTACAGTCTGCAGTTAACAGGTGTGAATGTGAACTCCTGTAAACGTAGCGCAGCTAAAGACCAATTCACTGAGTCTGAAAAGACCCTCTGAGACTTGCACCTCAACATCAGGCTGGATGCAAACTGCCTGGCAGACAGAAAGGTGTAAAATCTGGCTTTATGATTATTTTACACCAAGATGTTTTGTTCATACCAGAGAAATTCTATACTCACCTGTTTCATGGTGTTTGTGAATGTAAGGGGAGAATGCAGCAATAAAACATGTAAAACTACTATATTTTGACTGTTTTACAGGTCATTTAACTTATAGGGATGAAAGGTTTGTTTTATTTGATGTTTCTCACTAATATTTATAATGAAATCGACATATTGATTGTTGCTTTTTTTTTTCTGGATGGGATTTGTTGATAATAAAAACAGAAAACCTTGAGGCCCTTTATCTGTACTACATTTCAAAGGAAATATTCTATTATTTACTACATTTATGTTAAGAGATTTCTTAGATAATTTGCAGATTTCACGTAAAAACATGACGCCATTATAAATTACTATTAAAGGTTAGAACAGTTTTTTTTAACCGAGCTCTTACCTAAAAAAGTTTCAAAGGTCTTGGAGTCAGTGTCCTAAACAGCGCTGAGACAGATTTGTATTTTAACTTTCCCCGTAAACAGGCAGCAGTCAGGTGGCTGTGATGTCACAGCTGGACCTGCCAGAGCCTGAAGGGTCACTGGGGGTCTCAGAGGAAGGGGTCACACCATCTGCTTCAGACACTGAGCCAGGATTCAGTGTCTTTGAGCCACTCTGAACATCTCTGTCTTTCTTAAGCAACAGGAACTGACCCAGAACAGCGTAGGCCTGAAAACATACAAATACCGTGAACAACACACAAAAATACAATGAATAACATTTCAAAGACACACACACACACACAAACAAAAATGCATACAATGAATAACATTTCAAAGACACAAACACAAATGGAATGAACCAAAAGTAAACATTAGCATAGCTGCACTTTGTCTGGTTTGATGTGAACATTTGCTGGTTTTCTGAGACAGTGAATGGTTAAAGTCTGAACTTTGGACTGTATATCACATATTTTACAAAAACGTCCTAGAGGAAATACTCAATAGCTTTAATTCATCTTGGCCTACATTTACAAACACCACTAATTTCTTAGATTATATCAGTGAGTTTTCTTAAAAGCAGCTCATCCCTGACACGTTAAAACTTACTGTCATCAAGATTGTTCATGGTGTTTAACTGTTAAATCAACAACATGCATGTTGGGACAGAGGTAAATAGCCTGGCTTTTATGCTATTTTGATGATTTAGTGTAGTTAAATTCAGTGGAATAGAGGCTTTTACGTTAGAAATCGTTGGATAAGTCATCTACGCCATTTCCTGTCACCGCATTAGCTTTTCTGTAGCTGCTTGTTTGCTAGGCTAACCGACTGCTTTGTGCAATAATTCTTCAGTATGGTAGATTTATTCACTTTTAGAAGTCAGGTCATGGTCGTAGTTAATAACCTGGCCAAGACGGTGGTGACGGAGCTTTTTACTGCGTCGGAAAACGTTTCTTTAAATAAACTAAATCTGGAAACTGAGGTAAGCCCCGCGGCTAACAGGAGCTAACAGCTAACCAACTCAACATTAACTCCTTCTGCTCCAGAGGCTTCCGGTGTTTGGCAGAATGTGCTTGTGAAGTGATGGCTGATGAAATATTCCTCAATGCTCAACTGTAGTAACAATAAACAACAACTGGACGGTACATTCAAAGTTGGCATGTAGTAGCACACCGAACTGTGTTCATAAATCGTCTAATTTAAGCACTTTAATTGACGCACGTACCATAGTCCTCAGTCACAGAATGAACTCCATTTAACAATCGTCTAAGCATTTTCAGCGATTTGCGGTTCTGCACACATTATTTGAACGTATGTGGATTGATGTTTTACCTTTGGTCGTGTGTATGTGTTGCTGTATGTTGTGTTTTCTGCATGTTTATACTCCATCAGGAGAAACTAGGCGCTCTCCTGGACAGTCTGTGTGTTGAAGCTGTGGAGAAGATTGTGGAGCTGGCTGCTGTGAAGCGGGAGAAGCCTGGTGCTCGTCAGTCTGAGGAGAGCAGTGATGGTGTGACACAGACTGCAGCAGGTGAGCAGGGCTGTTTGTGGGCTCACTGTTGAGACGGAGAAATTCTGGGAGTGGGTGAACTTTTGTGGACTCCAGCAAATGGAGAAGACTCAGTAAAACAGCAATACATGCGGTGCTGAGTTGTGCAGACAAAAATGATGCACTGAATGAAGACAAACAGATACTAAGGACACTTAAGAGTTTCTGTTTATCATTTTTGTCAGCTTGAGTTATTTACACAAAACTGTTTGACATTCTGTAAGTTTAATTTATTAGTGGCCCCGTGGCTTGAAAAAAGGGAGAATCTTCTGTCTTCAAACTCTAACTTTGTTCTACCTACTAAGCAACAATCAGTGTTGAGAATGGTCACAGGAGGACCAATCATGTTCTGCCTCTTTGCTGTGTCACCTAAACGCTCTGTACCTCATCATTACAGAGTCATGAGTCTTCAGATTACTACAGTTTGTTGCACTGAAAACTGTTTTGTGATGGAACTGTGTTTTCTGTGTTGCAGGAGAAGGCGGTGGAGGTCAGTGCCCCCCCACCGAGCAGACCTACATCCTAGTTTATGGGGTCAGTTTGTGAGTCTACAATAACAGTGAGAGAGGCCCAGTGAAGATACTGAGCCCACTGAACCCTGTTGGCTGTTCTCTGCCTTACAGAGCACCGCTGTTGACTCCAAGTGTCTGCTGGTCTCACTGCAGAGTGATGCTAATGGTGAGGACATAATTCTAATCTAATAAATCATTTTTCCTCAGCTCACCATGAAGCTAAGGCTGTACCTCGAGGCCAGGTAGAAGTCTGAGGTTTACCTGAAAACAAATGGAAGTCCAGTGTGGCCTGGTGATTAAACAGCACCTGGAGCACTTACAGCAGCTTCACATTCAGACCCCTTCACTTTTTACACTCTTTGTGTTGTACATTTTATTTTAAATAGCTAAAATTGCCACTTTCATCAGTCTACAGAATGACAAAGTGAAAACTTGTTTTAGAAATATTGGCTAATTTATTAAAAGTAAAAAGCAGATCTTTGATTTACAGAAGTATTCAGACTTCAGTGTGTCCCCCTCTAACACCTTGTTTATATCAGTTCCCTTAATTCCATCCATGTTTCCTTTACTTGCATCTGGTCCTTGTGTCTTTGTTTCGCCCATGTAAGATACGAGGAGAGGAATCGAGAAAACACGTTTTAGAGACAGGAGACGTCCTTTTCCTCCGATCCTTCATCTAAAGCGTCCACTCACCAACTGATTTTTGATAACTGTGGGCATGTCGGCCCTTCAGTGAGGGATACTGTTGTGTATCCTCGCTCTTGGCTCCTCCAGCAGCCTCCTCGCTCCTCAGAGGAGGAGTAACTGTCTTGGGACGTGCTCTGTCCTCGCTCAACTGGAATGATTTTTGGGTTGAGTGAGGATTGAGGAGCGATCAGTTAAGAGAATTGAGGTTTACCCCTGATTAACCCCTGTGTTCTCTGTGTTTAGGTGAAAATAAAACCTCTGATGCAGCTGGTACAGTAACCACTCTGCACAGCCAGCCTTCCTCCTCTCCTCCCCATCAGGCTGAATTCCCTGACCATGAGTATGCTCAGCTGTCCACGCCGCCATCTGGTGCCGCCACCGACAGGGAGGGTGGAGTCCCTGTAGCTCGCTGTAGAAAACAGCGGCACAGCAGGAGGGAAAAAGACACCGAAACAGGAAGTGCAGAGACGAGACAAACTCACCATGAGTGCTCACAGTGCGGGATGCTGTTTCCAAACTCTGAGCGGCTCTCCGACCACCAGAAGAAGTCTCACCCGGTGTGCTCGCTGTGTGGGATGCTGTTCACCGGCATTCTGAAACTCCGTGACCATGAGATCAAAGAGCATGGGCTGCTGCCATACACCTGCGACTACTGCCCGAAGAGATTCAACCACAAGGCTCATTGCAACCTGCACGTTAAAGCCCGGCACACCGGAGAGAAAACCTGCCACTGCGACATCTGTGGGAAGGGCTACTCCTGCATCAGCGTGCTGAAAACACACAGGATGACCCACTTTGAGAAGACATTCATCTGTGACATCTGCGGGAAGAGTTTCTACCACGCTTGCCACCTGACACGGCACAAACTGGTGCACCAGGAGGTCCGGCCGTACCAGTGCTCCACCTGCGGCAAGGGCTTCACCCAGGCCGCCAACCTGCGCAGCCACCAGGTGATTCACACTGGAGAGAGGCAGCTGTGCTCCATCTGTGGCAGGAGCTACCGCTGCCTGAAGAACCATGTCATCAGCAAACATTCACACGAGCTGCCTGCTGACGAGCTGCCGGCCAGAGACACCATCATCACCTGTGAGGTCTGCGGCAAGAAGTTCCCCAACCCATCACAGTTTAAAGTTCACCGGAGGAGTCACACCGGAGAGAAACCGTTCCTCTGCGATATCTGTGGGAAGAGTTACCGCCTGAAGGAGCTGCTGAGGGACCACAGGTACACCCACACTGGAGAGAAGCCATACAGGTGTTCTCTCTGCTCCAAGACCTTCAACCTGGCCACCAGCTTCATGAGGCACCGCAGCATCCACACCGGAGAGACACCGTACACCTGCCACGACTGCGGTAGACACTTCCGCCTGCTCACCTTCCTGAAGGCTCACATGCAGACCAAAGCTCACCTGAGGCAGGCACAGCGGAGCCAGGCTGCCTCCTTGGACCTGGCATAGAGACCAGACATCATGTTGTCTGTCTGAGCTCAGCATTAGAATCACACTAAGTGACCAAAAGTATGCAGACAGCCAGTACCCTGCTGCTCTAGCAGCCTCTGCTCCTCTGGTTTTAGGGGTCCCCAGAAGCTGAGCCAGCTGCAGGGATTAGCTCCCATTCAGACCCCAGATTATCAGTGAGGTCCACCACTGATGTTGGTGTTGAGTCTGGCTCGTGCTGGATGGGGATGAGGTCAGCTCTTTGTTCAGTCCAGTTCTGGGATTAGGAGCTAGCTTTGTGCACGTTGTACTTTGACACAGGAAAGCAACAAACACAAATGTCTGACACAGATTTGCCTCCAACCAGTGTGACCAGGTTCCCAACTGTGAGCAGCAGCAAGAATAAACGGTGAAACAATCGATGAAGAAAGTGAAGGATGAACTGAAACAGGATCCGGCGAAAGTGAAACAGCTCCATGTGAAGCTCAGACGTAAATGACTGAAAGATCACAGCTCTGAAAGAATGTCCACTAGATAAACAGTTGCTTTACTTTTCAGTTTTTATTTGAATATTTTATTTGAAATAACACAACGATTTTACTGATAGACGTCTAGCTTCTGATACAGGGCTGGGGCTTTAACATGATGCTGCTCCAGTCAACACAAGTTTACACTTTGAATCACGGCTAATGACAAACGGTCTCAGTACCAGACATGACGGGCAAGTCAGCGGATTGCTCCTTTAATAGAGAAACAGGACCTGTGTGTGATTAAATGATGTGTCTGGAGCAGGTGACGAGCTCTGCCTCAGATTAACAGTCAGCATCAGAGGATCAGTAAACATGATTCAGTCTATTGTGCAGACACACAGGTGGGATTAACGGTTGTATACATCCTTCGATCAGACCTGTGGTCTGCAGTGAAGCAGTGTGAGTGTCATCGCTGGAGAAAAACAGAGATGGATTACAGTTATCATCTGGGAGCTGTCTGTGACCAGCTGCTGCAGCTGTGACTGATTAGAAGTATTGATGCATCACTAATGTTGCAGCTCAGTTTAACTACTGTATGTATGTTTTACTGCTATGTGACTGAATAAATAATAGTTTATTTACCAATTTGTTACATTTTCTTTTAAAAATCTGCATCTGAATTGTAACAAAAGCTGTCGAATTCTTGTTTGTAGTGTTTTAAAAAGTACCTTTGTATAAAGAAGTACACGATAGAAGTGCTGGTATTAAGAGTATAGCCTGAGAATAATATGCTAATATGATAGGAGATGAGAAGACAGAGGCAGTTTAACCGACAATCAGTCCGACAAACAGCAGTAATCGGCTTGCAGCAGGTCCAGCACTAAACTAATCTACTTACAGGGTTCAGTTTGAAGACAGACTGGGTTTATAGAGAGCAATATAAAACCAGTAGCATCTCTGTGTTTGTGTTGTTCTAGTGTTTGGTTTTAATTTATAACTTTTGGTTTATTGGACAATTTGTTCTCGACCTTGGAAACAACATTGACTATAATATAATTTATTTGTATAGCACTTTTCCAAATAGTAGTTATGATGTTTTAAAGAGCAGAAACAGTAAAAGTATATAATAAATAAAATATTAGAAACAAAAAAGAATAAGTTCAGTGTGCTAAAGGGTCAGAAGACATTCGTTGTTATGCTACAAAACATATGGTTTGTTTTGGACTTTTTGACCACGAGTCTGTAGTTGGAGTCTTTTTCAACCTCTGTTTGGTTATTTACACTGCAGTTTGGTGTGAATATAAGACATTTATTGTGAAATGTAACAAGATGCAAATGTAAACCTCCTAAAAGAGACCCTGACCCAGGTCTAATCGTCATGCACTGCCCGTGTTGACCGACAGGTGGCAGCAGGCACCTTGGTTTGCTACAAACATTCATTCAAACCTTTATTTAACCACACTCTTGTTTACAGTGGTGCCCGGGAACAAAACCTGAACAGAAAGCCAGTTTTAACACAACAGGCTATAAAAACGAAGCGTTCTACAGAGCTTCACCGTGGCCAGGGTGACTGAAACATCCAGCTGTGGAGTGGAAGCAGGGGAATCAGCCTGGCTCTGTGCAAAGCATCACCACACCTGCCAGCAGCTGGTCATCGTTTCATCCATCCACACCCAAACTGCTTCTTCAGACTGGTGCATTTCTCTGGGGCACAATCACTAAAAGTCAGGATCCTCTGAGTGAGCTGAGTTTGACTGCAGTGGTGGAGGAAGTACTGACAGCCACTACTGCAGTAAAAGTACTAACACCACACAATCAGAATACTCGGTTCCAAGCAGCAGCCCTGCAGTAAACCTATCAAAGTGTAATGAGGGAGCTGCTGTCTCAGTCCTCCCTGCAGAGAACTGTCCTCATCCATGAGGTGCAGTACAAAGTAGAAGAACTCTAGTGGAGTGGAAGTAGAAAGTAATACAAGTACCTCAGATACTTGCACACTACTTGAGTACTGGGTTTGCTGCTGTGGCAGAAGGCGTGTGATGTGTAAATAAGTTAAATATACAGCTGTTGTGTTCTCAGGTCAGAGACGGCCCCCTGAGTCACCGATGACTGATGTCAACGGTGTCATTGTGGTGACAATCACGGAAATAAATCCAGACTCGGGTAAAGAGACACGACAACGGGCCTGCGGGGTTTTGGCACTAAACGTCTTCCACAGCGGAGACACCTGGGATCACCTGAGAGAGAGGGAGGTGGGGAGACGTTGTGAGTCAGCCACGCCCCTGGATGCAGAGGATCAACATGGCTGCTCGCTGCAGCAGGTCGACCTTCACTAGGGGGACCGGACTCTTCTGGACCCTCCTGAACCGCCGAAGGATCCCTCTACCGGATCAGACCAGGACTGGATCGCGACCACACAGGGGTGTGTCCTCCCTGGCTCCACCGCCGGGCACCTGGAGCACCAAACTTTCTCGCCTGTGCCACCGGGATCTGTACCAGCTCTCGATCACAGACCCGGACCAGTTCTGGGGCTCCGCCGCCGCTGACAGACTCCGCTGGGTGGAACCGTTCCACCGGGTCCGGGACTGTGAGCTCAACAGCGGGAAGATCAGCTGGTTCCTCGGAGGGAAGCTCAACGTGTCCGGTGAGTTTTACCAAGCAAAATACCCGGCTAGGTAATCGATAGTTTTTCGCTTATCAATAAAGTGTCTCATCGATAAATCGGCCTGTTGGCCCCGCTGCTTGGGTCCAGGTTTCTCCGGTGGACACGATCCGTCTCTGGCTTTACGGTAGAGCCGTTCCCTGCTTCACTGGTAGCGAAATTATCTGTAATAGACTCTTTACTTCAGTACAAGTAGTAATACCACCGTGTAGAAGTACTTTGTTAGAAGTAAAAGTCTGCATTCAAATAAGAATAAAACTATTACTATCCAAACTACTCATGAAGTACCAGCAGTACCAGTACTCGTCCAGCAGAACGGCCCGTGTCCCAGTAACGTCTCTGATACTGGATCATAGTGACTAATTACTGTGTCCATCACTTTAATGCTGCAGCTGGTAAAGGTGGAGCTGATGGTAACTACCTTATATACTTATACTGGGAAGTACTTTACATCCTACTGGGTAGCTGGTGGATTTCCTACTGGGATCAATAGAGTCTGATGGTTCTACTGGGTTTGGTTTGATTCATCTGATTCTGGACCTGAAGGTATCAGGTACATGTAGTGTAGTAAAAAGTACACGGTTTGTCTCTGACATGGAGTGAAGTCACAGGATGAAGGAGCAGGAAGTACTCAAGTGAAGTACAGGTACCTCAAAGCTGTACATGTACTTAATAACTTTCCACCACTGGTCATGTTATTGTGTATCTGAATTGGTATCATTGTCTCTCTAACGTGACCAGTGGACAGTGATTAGAGGAGTTTACATGTGACTGATGTTACTGTATGAATTTATCGTTTCACTCCTCAGTGGTGCACATCTTACAGCAAAGCTCCCGTCAAAGTAGAAATGGTTGAAGGTCACTAAGTTTGTTTACTCAAGTGCTGTACTTCAGTCCAGATCTGAGGTGTCTGGCCTGTGCTCAAGTATTTCCATGTGGGTTAGGGTTGGCACTCAGCCTGCTGTTCTAACCGTCCACGTCAACAAGATGCCTCCCGTAATGTTCTGTTGCACTTCCAAATAAAGCAACACTTTCGATTTGTCTTTGTCGGGGTAAACTGGCAGAGTTTGTGCTGCTTGAAACTAAATGATACCCGAGAGCTCCTGTGTTTATAAAGGCACAGATCAGTTGTGCCTGTTTCAACCAGATATTAGCACTTCATTGCTCAGTCTTGTGGTGTCTTGGTGAAGGTCTGGCTCAAGGAACAGTTGGACAGTGGTGAGACTGTAAAAGAGGTGCTGTGGATCAGTGGGTTGGAGCACCTGTCTAAAACAGGAGGTCAAATCCCAGCAGGGCCTCGGTGGTCTCCTTTCTATAGATATAGTCAAGTTTATTGTTTATAGCGTTTTATGTGTTGTTTTTATATTTGCATGATATGTTAAGTGCTTTGGTCAGCTGTGCTCTATATAAATAAAGTTGAGTTGAGTTGAGTTAATCCTCCTCCTTCATGTACCACAATGAGGAGGTGGCTACTTCCTGTTTTGTAAGAGGAGGTGGCTACTTCCCGTTTTGTAAGAAAAAGGCCTGTTCAAGGAGAAGTTCCAGTCCTTTATAAATCACATGCGTGTGGACATAATGTGATATGACAGAACGTAGCTTGTATGCAGGTGCTGTGGCTCAGTGGGTTAAAGCACCAGTCTAACAGGAGGACAGGACCTCGGTTGTGTCCTTCCCCCCTCCTCCACGCAGCACAGAGAGAAGGCGGTTACTTCCTATTGGCAAGAAGAAGATACTGCAAAATCCGTTCACACATGAAGTTTCGGCATAAGCCTTTTAAATTACATGTATGTGGAGCTTTGTCATGAGCAAAGAAGTGCTGCAGTCAGGTGCTGTGGGTTAGTGGGTTAAAGTGCCTGTCTAGTAAATAGGAGGTTCTGAGTTCAAGTCCCAGTACTGTCTCATTGAACTTGTGTTCTGTGTAAAATCTTTAATCTAAATTTTAAGACCCAAAAAAAAGCAGTACAGCAGATGAGGGGGAGTCACATCAGACAATAGTGTTGAAAGAAGAGCTCAGATCTCTACTTAAAGACCTCCTCCACTCCAGCTGTTTTTTGTTCTTCTTATTTTTATACCCCATAAACATCCGTCCTTCTCTGTACTGATGGTGTGTGTGCAGTCGTATCACTGACACGTTCCTCTGCTGAACAGGGCCTGAAATCAGAGGTCCAGCATGGATCACCAAACTAAATGTGACATACCATACCAACTTTATTTATAAAGCACTAAAAACAACCAGAGTGGACCAAAGTTCTGTACATTGCAATAAAACAATATAAAATATAATCAATCAAATGACTAAAATCAACACAAAAATATCAAAATGCCAGGGAAAATAAATGAGTTTTTAAAAGAGACTTAAAAACAGACAGGGTAGAGGCTTGTCTAATGGACAGCGGTAAATCATTCCAGAGTTTAGGACCAGCAACTGCGAAGGCTCGATCGCCTCTAAGCTTACGCTTCGTT